CGAAGGAGCAATTTGCCCTGAAGGACTATTATTTTCGTTTTGGCATTTTGCGTTGGCTCACTATATGAAATAATTTTTGCATTTCCAAATCAGATAATGGTGGTTCAGTGAGTTTACTAATTTTAACACTTTTACATTTTTAACAATATTTTAATCCACTATATACAGAGCGTATTCTTAGGGCGCTGCCTTCAACATGAACCAACTTTATTCTTTTTAACTAAGCGAGCAACAGCGCCCTCTAGCCTTTTCCTTCAAATTACACAACACTATAAATGTCAGATACTTTTTTCAATTTGTTGCCACCAAATATTATAGCCCTGTATTATATTTAAAAAAATTAGATAATGAAGAATCTGCATAAATGTATGTATGTTCCTCGCATTGTGATAAAACAACGGTACCTCAAGCCTACTCGAATTTTGAATAATGTACATTTTCACCCTGAATATGGGCATTTGGAAGCCCAAATTTGGAATTTGCTTTATTATCGATTTCATATTTTGTAAAACTTTGAACGAATTTTTAATTAACAAACTCAACGATTTGCAAAGCGAGCAATGGCAACAACTGTACGGGGGGAAAACCTTTTTATCTCCAGCGCGTGGAACAAAATGTGTATCGGAAATTCTAAAAATATGCTCATTTTAAAATTATTTTTCAACATTGCTGTTGAAATGAACTTTATGGTTTAAGTGCGAAGAACATGATATTTCATAAATAAAGGTAACCCACAAAACGTTAAAAAAACGCCCCTTTGACGTAATTTAAAATCTGAAACCTTTCAGTTATTGTTATTATTATTATTTATTATGTTTTGATAAATATCTGTACAGGATTAGGCATTTAGAGAAAACAGAAAAAAGAAACCTTAAGAAAGAATCTCACAATTTTAGCCAGGGAAAGAGAGATAAATTGTAAGTTAGAGAAATAAAAGATAAGCAAGTATAGAAGAAAACATTGTAGCAAACACAACTGAATATCATTGAATCCATTAAACCATGATACTTATACACAGCACGCCACACACACGCTTAACATCAGATCATACAGGAATGATATTCATGCATTAAGAACATATACAGCTCAATATACGTACAAATGCACGTACACACATATATCTACCTACTTACCTATATACATACACACAAGCATATATAGATATATATCGCACATATAAAAAGGCCCCACCAGCGGCCTAGCGGTAAAGTTGCTGAATACTGGCAGTTTGATCTGAGGTTCGAATCCCGCGAATGGGTGTGGGCTCTTACTTGGTTTTCCCCATTTGTAACATGTATATGAGCCAGCTCCCTTAGAAAATCCTCCACGAAGGCATCCCTCACCTTAGGTAGATAGCCCTCGAAATTTTGCTGTAATCACAAAAAAAAAAAAAAAAAAAAGCTCGCATAAAAAAATCGCCCATAAGTTGCTTACAGAAAAAGCATGCATTTCGCCTGCATGCGATTTCAGTTTCAGGCTGCTGGATTACCTACCAGCGGCTGAGCGGTAAAGTCCCTGAACACTGGTAGTTCGGTCCGAGGTTTTCTAATCCTGCGAACGGATTGGCTGCATAGGTGTTTTCGTGTTTTCCCCATGTATAACGTATTAATGCGAGCCAGTTTCCCTTAGAAAATCCTCCACGAAGGCATCCATCCGTTTCGCGTAGTGCCTTAGGTCGAAAGAAGTAAATAATACAGACTGCTGGATTACAACTATGTAAGTTTCAGCACGTCTTTCAGATTAACGTATAAATTGCAACTAATTCATTAATTTTTCAGTTATAAGTTTGCTTATCATCGTTTAGGGACTTATTTTATTCTTGTTTAGTATTTTAGGATATTAGAAAATGTTTCCACGTGTTAAAATAATTAGAAATTTTCTATATAGTTTAATAATTCAAAATGTAGTAAGTACATGAAATGTTGGATGCCATGAGGCCAATCTAGTCAAGTTAGAATTAAGAACAATATTATGCTAAAGCCAAATGAGAAACCTAAAGTTTATAAATTATGCGAAAACATTAGTTAAGCATGGTTTTTCAAAATGCGATTAAATTTAAAAATCTGTCGAATGTGATTTACTTATAATGAATATATATATATATTTAATATATATTCCATTAAAAATTATATATTGTTCGATTTCCTTATAATATACTCATATATAACATAAGGAAGCGAGATAATTTCTATTTGTGAAATTCCAAGGAAAAGGTCTTTTTTTTTTTTTTTTTACTTCTTAAAATTAAAACTTTTTAACACCATTTTTTCCTCTATTTTACCTTTTTTTAACATATATATATTTTATATTTTTAATTCTTGAGTTTTGATTACTTGAACAAAAGGACTGGGTCAGTTTTTCTCGAAATTTATAGATTTTCCGTATAAAATCAAGTTAATCTAAAGCAGTGGGTTTATTTAAATATAAATAAATTATTCGGTTTTAACAAAGGTAAGAAAAATTGTCTTTTCGTAAATTAACAAACAGCTAGATATATACAACAGATTTTTGAAAAAGTGTTTTTAGTTCTGAAATTATTGTTACTCACTGTAAATAGCACTCTGAATTAATGTAGTAACTAACCCAAGTTGCAGCTAGTAAAGTCTTTAGATAAAGTTAGACTTCACTTTAGTCTCCCTTTTTCGGAATTCCTCCTGCCATTGGGTAGAAGGGAGGGGAATTTAAAGATAAGAATGTAAAATATATTAAGTATTATGATAGGATGACAATTTTTTTCTTTAAGTTAGTTAATGTTATTTAAATATTTTTGAATACTATTTAAATACGTCCAATATTTTATTACTTTTGCATTTATATATCCATGCAAAGAAGCAGACATGTGGGTAGATGGATAAATAGGATTATAAATTAACAATTAACAAAGCATCAAGATGCAAACTACCAAAATTACTGCAAATCAGATCTCGAAGGCGAATGAGTCATTCTCAAAATAACTGCTTTTTTGGGGGGGGAGGGAGGGGTTAATACGTTTTATTAATACATTAATTTAACTAAGTTATTAATAAATTTATTTTGATTGGGTGATGAAAGCACAATCAGTGTTTTCACTGCTTTAAGCTGTGTACTTTCGGTTTAAAGTGGTTTAAGGAATATTAAAGTTTTTCCGATACGTTTGATTCTCTATAAAAGCAGTTCTTTCTTTAATTTAAAATTATTAAAACAGTTGAAGTCAAATGAAAGAACACTGAATTCTCTTTAGATGAATTGAATTTATTATTACGTATTTTAAATTTATTTTTCGGGTTTTGCAATTATAACAAGCATTTTTAAGGGAGCAAAACTCTCAAACTGTTTAATTTCCTCGAATTCTAATATTCTGGCGATCTTCATTTCGCATCCAACAATATTTAAATACGTTTTAAACACTGTTAAAATGTCAGATGCTATTTAATACTGAGTAGAGTGAATCACCTTAAAACGTAGGTTGTGCGATACAGCTATTCTTTCCATAAAAGGACTTTCCATCTGTCCTAATTTCGCCCAATTTATTTTATTATTTTTCATTTCCATTTCTCTGGTCACCTACATGAATTCGCATCCTTCTGAATCTTGGCTGGTGGGCGAACCAATCAGCTCTTTCGAAAAAAAGGTCTGTGAATGGTCCGTTCATTGCCTCACTGCGGGTTCACAAATTGTCTTTCTGCGCATGCGTGTTATTTGAAGCCGGGTCTGTGGTTAATTTTACCTATCTGCAATATTTTCACCCACCTTTTTTTAAACACATCTGCAAAAATAATTATATTATTTAGCCATGTCATCCGCTGTGTATTATATTTTAATACGAGCGTCTTGTATATTTATGAGAAAAATTTTATTTAGTGCATTCAGAAGGAAAAATTCTATCGAGTAATAGTAAATGTTCATAAATGTTTTAAGGTTATCGTTCCATGATAAATGACTTTCTGTTAATAAACTTACCTTTCCAAGAATCACTATTACTGTATAGTGAAAATAGGAGATAAATGCTTTAAGTTTTCTTTTTTCTTTCTTTTTTTTTTTTATTAAATGTACCAATAAGTTTAATGCTTTTTTCAAACAGTCGTTGATATTGCGATTACTGGAAAAAAAATTTGAAATCTATGGTATAGCTTTCCAGGAAAGCTGTTTAATGTGTTTGGAATTAGAAGGTAACTATCAAAAGCAGTCCAGCATCTCTTTTTAGCAAAGTTAATTGCTTACAAATTTAAATCTAGAATATATATTACTAAAAATTTCTTGTCCATGCCTATATATTCTACGTTGCGAGTTAATTTGGCTTATACAGACGTAATTATTCAGATATTCTAATATGTTTATTCGTTTTGTCTTATCAGAAAGGAAGGTAATTTTTTTCAACATGAGAGTCAAAAATATATTTACATTTTGTGCAAAGTTGAGTCATTAATTCTTTACTAAACAGTTAAATATTAAACTGATTTACTTTAGACCTTTAGCACTGAATGTAATTTTAAGTTCTATAAGGAGGTATAGTTTAGGATGATACGGATCTCTTAGCCCTTCCCATATTTCTTTCTTATAGGAAATAGAATTATGTTAGCAAAGTCTGCATTCAATGGCAGTGTTCAATTCAAATGAAATAGGATTTTTAATTCCTGCAATTGTTCTCCTAAGTTTTCTGTTTCAGTTACTTTAATATTGTTACCATTTTCAATTAACAAATATGAGCATTAAATTTTATTGCATTTTAAATAAAACTTTGTTTAAAAAAGGGAAAAGACGAGAAAAAAGAGCTTGAGTTTTTTTAGAACTGATTTGCCATTGAACTTGCTGCTACAAAGTTTGCCATTTTAATTTCTGATAGAAATGACTATTCAAGTTATAATAATTTGAATTGATTAAAGCGGATTTACTTTTAACTAACTGACTTTCGTACAACAAAATAAAGAAACTCTTTAACACAATTTGTATCTTAGAGGGCGCTGTGAGTGCTTTGCTTCGGCCTTAAGTTGGCTGCAGATAGCGTACCCCGCCTAGTGACGTTTCTACGCTGCATTTAAGGCGCGCCCGAAGTGTGTGAAGTACGACATTTATATCGCTCCTTAAATTTTTATTGAGAATTTTCAGCGTTTAATTAATTAAAATGAGAGAAATAGTGCATATCCAAGCTGGACAGTGCGGTAACCAAATTGGTGCTAAGGTAAAATAATTTATATTTTAAAGTTAGTTTGAAATTTTCGTATGCTTTGCTTACTTATGAAACCGAAATATGCACTCAAGATTTAATTTATGCGACATTGAAAGAAAAATCTGTTCTTAGTCTAAGGAAATTGTAGGTATTGAACAAATTTTGAGAAATTTGAAGCGTTCCAAGAAAACTAAATAAGTATTTAAAATTTTAAATGGCGGACATCTGGGAAAATGGCAAGCATCCGTTAAACCGCGAAACAAAGGCGTAATGGCGGTCATCGTGCCGACAACTAGAACAACTAGTGGTTACTTAGAAAAGAAGCAATCCATTAAATATTATGCATGAATTAATTCCTTAGGACGTTTAAATTGTAGAATTTCTATCATTGCATTTGATAAGTGGTACTGACCGTTGACTCTTAAATGTTTCCTATGTAGTTCAGTTTTCTTAACGGAAAAACTAATTTATGTAAAGTCGTTGCAGATTTTTGGAAAAAACTTTGCTATGAAAATTTTCCGATGCGCATAATTTTTCCTGTTTTCGGTATAGAACCTGTAAAGTAAGAATAATTTTTTTTGTCTTCAGAAAGCTAGTAAGAAGTTGAGACTGTATGAAAAGTCAATGAAATAAACTTGAATTTAGTTAAAATATTCTTAAGTTATGAATTTAGCCTCATTTCAAGTTGAAGATTCTTTTTTCAAAACCCTTTATATATAGACTAGAAGAGAAACACGCTAATGTGACAATCAAAATCGTAAAAACAACCTTGTATTTAGCGTAAGTATATTGAAACACTCAATCGATTTCGAGGGCAGCTAAAGGTCCTGATGAGGAGGGACCTTTAGCTGCCCTCGAAATTGATTGTTTCAATATACTTACGCTAAACATAAGGTTGTTTTTACGATTTTGATTCCATATATAAGACAAACTTTACGTGATTTGAAAACGAGAGTGTCGGTATACTTCTAGAGTAGTAGTGTATGAAAATATTTGTTATTTGAGCGATTAATGTGTCAAAATGAGCGTGATAAAATGTCTTTTTCTTGTATTAAAAGGTCACTTAAAAAAAGTGCCGTCTAATCTTAGAGCCTAGATATAATCAAAGCTATTTTATTTAACTGAAATGTAAGTGAAATTAAGCAGAATTTCTTTTGAACACCTGAGGAAAAATAGTTTCAATATCGGTCGCCAAGCAGTGGTATATTGTTAATACTAAAAGCTTCAGCTTCTCATCAGCTTGTTCTTTTGTTATGAAATAAGTAGGTACCTTTGGGGCTTATAAAAAGAACAGTGAGGTTTTATAATTCAAAATAAGATAATATTTGTAGAATGAATAATTTTGCAGCTGATTTACATTAACATTAGAAAAATAGAATTAGTATATCTAATTATATGCCGTTAGAAAAATAAGCGGCTAAAGTGCAGAATTGCCTGCTTATCTGATTGGAGTTCGTTTGGCGCTTTTTACAAGAGTAAGAAGAATTGGATTTTTGTCAATTTTCTTTGACTTTTTAAGTGAAAATAGGTCAGTGTGTACATGGATAAAGTCAAGGGAGTGCACAATGCCATTTTTGTGCAATTCTGGGTTTTTTTTAAGTAAAAATAGGTCGATGTGTACATATATATCGAATATGTGCAGTTCTTAAAAACGTGCCAAGCAGTGGGCAATTCTGCACTTTCCCAAAATAAGCTAATTAGTGTTAGCTGAATAAGTTGTATATTTTAAAATGGATACTTGTTGCGGTACTTGATTTTGCAACTAAGAGGCAAACACATTTAGTTGCCAAAATTAGCACCAATAATAAATAAATTTTTAACCTGCAACTGTTAATTATCATCAGATGCTTATATGATAGGCACTTGTATATAAACTATTTAAGTTTTGGCAGTGTAATGAAATGAGTACCATCATGCAAGATAAAAAAAAAATTGGATGAAGTAATTATGTCGAATATATTTTCTTTAGTATAGCATTTAATCCTGTGAAATTGAGCTAACACAGCTGCAAAAGTGTTTTTCATCTGAAGGCTAAAATTATTTTGTCTAAATTTTTAATTAGACAGTGATATTTATTTAAAGAAAAATTTGAGTTATTCTGTGTAGAAGTTATGACATTAGTTCAGGTTTTCATATGTGTTGAGAGGCTGCTTAGGTGTTTTCGTGGTTTTCCCTTGTGTAACGTGTTCCCCATGTGTACGAACCAGTTTCCCTTAGAAAGTCCTCCACGAAGGCATCCCTCCCCTTAGGCAGATAGCCCTCGAGGCTTTGCCGTAATTAAATAACCTAACATAATGTATTGAGTGTGTCTTGGGCTGCTTTGTGAGAATTAAGTGTAAGTATTTAGAAATTTAATTCATTCATTGTGCAATTTTAGATTTTTTTTAAAGCTTTCCTTATTGTTTTGAAATTCTAATGTGGGAATGGAATAAAATTGGTGAAATTTTTATGGCTTTATTTGTTCCTGAAAGCTCTAAAGTAAAGACTATCTTTCAAGTTGTGCAACTTTCCCCCCCCTTTTTTTTTTTTTTTTTCAATATTTTTATTTTAATAATGTACTTTGTTTTGAATTTTTCAAGGGAAAAAAATCTTCCAAATTTTAGGGATGAAATTTTTAATGGAAACATGACTTCGTATCATGAAGGAATAGAAAATGAAATTTGTGTCAAACTAAGCTGCTTTGTAATTATTAAGGTAGACTGGTTTGATCTAAAATGTTCAGTTTAAAATGTAGCGAAATAAAATTGGCAAGGAAGAAACTTGCCTGATGACTAAATTTTAAGAGATCGTAAAATCTGGGTTGAGCCCAGGAAATTATTAACTAGTGCTTTTCTTAATTTTTTTTCTTTCTCTTGGATATTGGTTTGATTTACTTTGTGTTTTCACCATTTTTCCCCCTTCTTTTATGCTGAACAAATTTTAAAGCATGTTGAGCTTTTTTTTTTTAATCGAAATGATTTAATTATTAGTATATTTTACTACTAGTGTAATTTTCCTCTTCACATTTTAGTATAATTCTGAATTTGGTAAAACTGGATATTATGGGCCAGTTTGGTAAGTTTTCGAAAATTCACAAAATGGATTATTTCTGCACGTTTTAGAAAATCGCCAACTCATCAAATCACCATAGTTTCGATTTTTGAATGAGTCCTATAAAAATCCAAAGAATTCATATCTAAAACAGAAGTTCAAGAAAAACAACGAAGAAGTATTTGAAATTTAATAACTATGTATTTTATGGGATCAACTATTGATTTATGGACTTTTCATATCATCATATATTATTTTTAAGACAGTAGCAAAAATAGGTATAAAATTTAATTGCAAAATTTAAGAAACTGTAATAAGCAATAACTAGTAGGAAATGCCATAGTATAGTAAAAAACGAAAAGTGGTAAACAGTTTTAACTATGTAGTTTATATTTTTACGATAAATTTTAATTTATAATAAATGGAAGACGTTGATATTTATATTAAAATGTGTAACACGACAATAAAGATAAAATTCAAATTGGTGTGCTCATTTCAACCACGTACTTACCATAAAGCAGAAACTACAAAACACAGATTCAAGGAAAACGTTGCCTATCGTGAAATTACACATTAATCACTTTCAAAACCATAAAAATCCTTTTCACTATCATCATCATCGAAAATGAGAATATCGTCATCACTGCTGTTTCTGTCATTGCTAGTATCACCTTCTTCGAATAATGTGTCGTCTTCTGTTCCATCAAGAAGCATTACTGATTCCTGCACTTCTTAAAGGACTTTACAATTACTTAAGCCTTTACGTCCTCCAAAGATCTTTTTACTCACTCGCACACTTGTGAAATAGAGGGCTGATTCATTCTGAGGCGTGAGGGCATGATGTGGCTCTCCTATCCACTTGTTCCATCGTTCTCGCACGTTTTTCCTTAAATGGCTGATTCACCGATACATCTAAAGTCTGCAATTGGCTAGTCAGTTCACCAGGAATGACAGCTATCTGGGTTTTTAATTCTCTTACTTTATTCTTTATGGTTTCAGTTCTATGGGCGCTAAACTGATCCAAAACCAAGAAAGGGTTTTCTTAAAGTGTCCACCAGGTTGCCTTGCCCATACATTCTGTAACCACAGTTTCATTCCAGCTTCGTCCATCCAGCCTTTCAGATGAACATGAACATCTTTTGGCAGTTTTTCTTTTAAATATGAAAAACGGCGGTAGTTTTGTGCCATCAGCACAACATGTTAGAACTATCGTATATCAAGTTTTTTCATGACATGTGGTTTTTATGGTTATTGATTTAGACCGTTTAATACTCAGTCTTGTTGGATGGTACATCAAATGTGAGTGGAAATTTCATCCATATTTCCTATTTGACAGAGCTCAAAAGAAATTTTCTTGCGTGCATTTATAACAAACCTATGAAATGCTAGTATTTTTTTCTTCATAATCTGCTGGCATTTTCTGTGCAATAGTTGTTTTTGTGCGTATTAATAAGCCTTGCCTTTTCATGAAGCTGTAGCACCAATCCTCAGACCCTGAAAAGTTCTGATTTTCATGTTTTTCTGCAAATCCTTTGGCCTTATTGATTACCATTTTGATTGAAACACTTATCCCAGATTTCTTCTTATCTGTCACCCATATTTTTATGGCATTTTTAAGTTCAGGCCGAGATGGAGCTGGGCATCGAAGGTTATGTTTTTGTTTTTTAGCAGTCTTCAGTTGATCTTCCTGCAGTCGCCAAGTACGTGTCATTTTTTCTGTAGGTGGTGGACCGAAATGCCTTGCTGCTGCTCTGTGTCCATGAACTTTGGCATAGTTTAACATTCCTAGTTTATACTGAATTGTGTAGCTTTAATCTCTTGTTTCCAGTAGTCATATTTTCCAGGGTATTTTTTTTTAAACAAATAGTTTTAAGCACTGATACCGAGACGTTTATACAGAGTAGCACTGACACGTGTGTTGGCTGAGTCAAAGAAAGTCTATGTAAAAAGAAGGAAAGGCTCCATAGACGTAATGTGACCGTCGAACCTGTTCGAACTTCGACATCATCTTCGAGCTTTAGCGCTTTTCGGCGATGGATATTTCACGCATGCGAAAAATAATTATGGCAGATGTAGAAAAAGTTAAGTGTGTCTATACCTTTATCCGGGCTAAAAGTAGCATTCAGTATTGAAAGTTAACCTGTCTTCTTCACGTATAAGACACAGGTAACTTTTTGAGACCAAATTTAGAAAAAAAAGTGTCTTATATTCCGTCAAATACGGTAATTACATATAATGTACTTGCATGTAATGAGAATTACTTTTTGATTTATATTTAAGTCAAAATCTGTGTTAATCAAATCTTGTTATTTTAATTCAAGTGTATTAATCAGTCATGCACTTCTGATCCCACGAATGTTAGTTGAAGAATCAGGACTTGCAAGATTTGTAACTCGGAAAGCCAAGAGCCCTTTACAAGACATCTATTCACAAAGGCCTGTCGCATCTTTCTTTTCAACTAATTTCATATTTTTACACTTAGGATATTCGTACACATTTGGAATCAAACCATAATTCATGTACCATTCTATTACACATCTTTCGCTCTTATCTTGAAATCGAATAAGCAAAATCCACACGTTCAACTTTTTCGATGCCAGCCGTTTTGCTCAAACTGTTCAAGAGAAGCACGGTGAATGACGAATACCCTGTTTAAGGGAAGCATTGCATTTAAAACCACAAATAGTGAAATGAAGAGCTCTAGTGTAGAATTGGGTGCTCCTTCGATTAGCGACAATTTAAAATAATTTGGCAATGAAACCTCTCTTCTCGTTACCATGATAGTTTTAACTTTGTTTTAGCTTCATGATTTTATTTAAACGAAAATAGGTGTACATGGACAAATTTAAGGCAGTGCGTAATGCCTAGTTTGCGCAATTGTAGGATGTTTTTTTAAGTGGAAACAGATCGATGTGTACATGGGCACAGTTTGTTAATTTCTTTGGCTTCTTATTTTGGTTTTTGTAGCGGCCATCTTGAAAGTGTGCCTTCCTGGTGTCGATCTTGGCGTCAAAAAAGAATCGCCAAGAAACAAGGGGCACCCAATTGTAAACTTTTACCAAATGAAGTTACAGGTATGAATATTCAAAAGCCTGGTTAAATAATATAAACTGTTGCCCTAAACCCTAACGATTTTCATCACCACAAAAAAAAGGGGGGGGGCGTTACCAGATTTGGCACGGTTTCATTTAACTTGGTGACTGGTTTGTAATCTCCAAATTTTAAAGTTTATTACTTATTTTATGCTGTACTGCAATGTCATCATTTGTTTTTTTTTTTTTTTTTACAGTTTTGGGAAGTAATTTCAGATGAGCATGGTATTGATCCCACTGGTACCTATCATGGAGATTCTGACTTGCAGTTGGAGCGAATAAATGTGTATTATAATGAAGCTTCTGGTAAGCTTTTTTCAGTTAATTTTTGTAATAAAAATCTTTTAAGTAATAAATTTTTCTCCAGAAATAATTTGTATTGAAATTGAAAGCCTAATTGGGAATACTTTTGGGCCAAGTTATGAAGCTGCCTTTATACTAGTCTACCTTTTTTTTGCTGCCAGATCAGTACCATAGAATTTAATATTATTGAATTATCTGCTCAACCTTTCTGCAAAGTTGCCAAATAGTGGCAACTAATTTTTCACGAAGTAAATATGTGAAAAATAGTAGCCTTTAAAAAAAAATTTCAATGTTCTGAAAATTGCATAAGACCAACATACATAACGGATCACTCGAAATTTCATGCAATGGTAACAAAGTAACTAAATTAAAAAATGCTTTAAGTGTCCATAACACTCTTAACCTTTATTTTCATGGTCTGTTTTAACTTTAAAAAATAAGGTTGGAGAACTGAATTCTCAGTATCGCAGAGGAACATGGTACTGCTGTCCACATACACATTTACCTATTTTGACTTTAAAGAAAATCACAATAGAAATCACAAATTCATAGAAAACTCAATATCATGCAAGAACAGCTCTTAATTTATTTTTCGAGCTGCAACACTTCTATAATAATATAACGTTAAAGAATTTGGAGTATTGATTTAAATAAAAGTGCATTTATGAGATGTGTAAGTAAAAGTATTGAATATTTTTACTGAAGTTACACTAGTTAGATTTGCTAAAATCTTGAATCTTTTTTGGTTTGAGCAAAGCCCACATCCTTGACGCAAATGGTTTGTTATGGCGTGTAAATTAAAAATAAAGTTTAAATATACACAAGTACGTGGAGGCATTTTTTAAGCAGAAATATTGAAAAGCCGAGTTTTAAGTTGTAAAATTGAATACGAGTTCAGAATGCATGTTTAAATTAAAAATAAAGGAAAGAAATGCTGGAAATTAAGAAAAGTTTGCAGAATTGTGGTAAATTTACAAAGAAATCTTATATTGCCCAGTTTACGTGCCTTACAATTTCTAGAAATTTGTTGAATACATCAATACTTTGCTTCTTGCAAAATTAATGAAAATAAAGAAAGCCGAATAAAATTTAAAATCTGTTTGCTAATTATGTGTTGGCAAGGAGCTTTTTGCCCGCCTTTATGCACTTTCTATTGTGTTTGTATGGCATCCCATTTCTGAATCAACAAAAAGCAAATTATGATTTAAGTACTCAAAACCCTCCCTACTTAACCAGTCATAGCTTTTCCAACTATCCGAATAAATTTTAGTCTCCGTCTTAATCCACTAACATCCAATAGTGCTCTCTCACTCCTATTGTGAACAGCTACCAAATATAGTTTGTCACATTCTCTCTCGACCCCTCCAGAAACCCACTGCCCCTCAACTGCATGTTCCCTATTGTATATCAGTTTTCCAAATTTGCTTTAATCTGTTTCTGCCATCTTCCTAGTGTCACCTATTTTTTTCCGATGACAGTTCTATATAACTTAAAATAGTTTCTTTTAAAATTGCTTCCAGTCTGCTGTGTTAAAAGCCAATACTTATCTTGAATAGCTCCAGTATAGTCCCTCTGAGCGTTTTCTTTCATATGTTAAGAAAAATATTTCGTCCATCCTCAACTTATTATTACAAAACCATGACCCATGTGGAATTGACTTCATAGATCCACATTCCTTCCCTGTCATACTTTACACACATAAAACCATCTGACTGACTTTAACCTTAATAATTTCTCGCATATAATTTGCCCCTTTATCAAGCCTGTTTCCTATAAAAAATCTTGCTGAAGTGTACATAAACGAAACAATCTATTCACTACGCCAGGCTTTCCTAACGTCTTCTTTCCATTTGAAAACTAAAATTTTAAATTTCCCATTAACACTCCCTGAGACTTCTCAATAATGCTTAAAACAGATGGCATCTTAATCTGAAAATATAAGGAAATCTGAATAAAGTAAAATTAAAAAAAAAAAAAAAAAAAAAAAAAATCGATACAACCAGTTCACGCAGAGGCAACTTCTTGTTCCGTTCCAGTGAAGAAAATGTCACTTTCCAGTTTAAAAAATGCTGAATGCAGCAGGGTTGCCGAAATGTCGTGTTCTACGATTTGCTGCTGGGTTAACAGAAATACAACAGTCCAAAGAGTACGCCAAGCCAAAAATTGCCAGTGTGGGGGAAAGGTCACTCAAGCTGTACCTCTTTAAAATTTAAATTGCAGGATGTTATATTGGAATTTAATCAGATTGTGTAATTTTTAAAAATTATCCTTATATTAAGTGCTTAAAAAATATGCAATTGTTTATTTTCTAGGAGGAAAATATGTTCCTCGTGCAATTCTATTGGATTTGGAGCCAGGAACAATGGATTCCGTCAGGTCTGGTCCATTTGGACAGCTGTTTAGGCCTGATAATTTCATTTTTGGTAAATATATCTTTCATTCCTCAGCTTTTTCAATTTTTCAAAACCTTAGCGTGAATGCTGTTAAATGAATTTTAATGTTAGAAAAATTTTGAACTTTAGAATTTTTCTCAGGTAGGGAGAAGCTGGCAACCAACTGTGTGTAGTATTGCTTTTTTAATTTTTTCATTACTTTGTCATTAGTTTTTCTATATATGAGGGCAATCCCCAAAAAAAAGGTCTATATTTTTAGATATACAAAGAACCGTTTATTTTCTATAATTGCTACATCACTTTAAAGATTGGAGAATGCTTTATTTTTCAACATAATCGCCATTTCGGTCAATGCATTTTTTCAGACGGCTGTGGCAGTTTCACAATGCCCATGTCATACCAGCTTGCTGCCATGCCCTTCAGGAAGCGTTGAACCTCATCATTGGAGCAGAACCGCCGTCCAGAAAAATGTTCCTTCAACTTAGGGAACAGGTAGAAATCACTGGGTGCCAAGTCCGGACTGTGGAGTGGGTGTGTGATGACGTTCCAACCAAAATTTTGCAGATCGACAAGCGGCGTGAGGACGGGCGTTGTCGTGGAGAATGCTTACACCCTTGCTCAACATCCCTCTTCTCCAGTTCTGAATTGCCCTTCTGAGTGAATTTCAACTGGTTTAATGCCTTTTGTGTTCTAAAATCGAATAACTGCGCGCACTTTGCACTTGGCGGTAACGTTTATCGGAAGCTCCATTTCGAATGGCTGCCAAGCCAAGACTGAGCATCCGAGCGAAGTGCTTATGTGGTAGTGGAGAAGGCACCACTCACAACAGTGTTGCCAACAACCGTATTAAAACTGTCTCCCCGTTAGACCTTTTTTTGGGGATTGCCCTCGTATTATAAATGAATCAAACAGTTGTTTGATCATTTATAATATATAGAAAAACTTGGGCAGTAGGAAATTTGAAAAATGTTAAGTTTTTAATATTTTTCACTAAAAAGTATGTCTTACAGTAGTAAAGTTCTTAAGATTTGGTTTTATCTCCAATAATTACTTTCATGATAAGCTCTAAAACTCAGCACTCTGCACTTTTGACATAATTATTAATTAAATAATGGAACTATTACTTCCTGTCATTATTACTGGTTTGGCCAATTTTTTTGCAGTTCGGCATAACTTTAGCTTTTACTTGCTTGTAAATTTGTTACTTTATTATAGCAGCCCCCAAGATTGAATCGGGAATTGGTATTGTGTTGCATTTTTTGCTCTCACTGCATCTCCTTATGTTATTTATTTTTAATGAGGTTTTTGAATTTGCATTGTTTATTTGAAATTGTATTCATTGCTTTTTTGTGAACAGTCTTAATTACCAAATAATAAGGTGGATGGCAGGAATTTTTTCAAGGTCTTTCACCTGGCAAATGAGTGCTGAAATGGCCACAACATGAAACTTTATGCTAATGATGAAATCATTAGGAGGTACAATGTTAAAAATTGCATAAAGAAGAAACACATGTTGAAAATTTTCTTTTCGGCGGTTCCAGAATATCCTTCATCACTGCTATTAGATTTATCTATTCTTAAGCAGACGAGTTGACGTCCACGAAATGTTAACAAACAGCTATATGTGTTGAAGTGCTGCAGTTGACTGCAACAGTCACATGTAATAAAGTAATAAAAAGGATAAGGGCTAAGGATCCTTAAAAATAATCATGGGAAATGACATGCGAGTATTGTTATTGTATATTGTGTTTATTTTTATATTATCAGTTCATGAGCATGGCAAAATTATAGCAGAGATTTTGGCGAAAAACCGGAATTACCTTATTATGGTTTGGAGGCCACTGTAACAAAAGTATCCTGAATTTTTTTGCTGATAATGTTTATAACCAATTTATTTATTAAAATATTTGTAAGGATTAGCATGAATTTTTAATGGAAAAAGTACCAGTTACGGCTTTCAGAATTTGGAGCTTGCTGTTTTTTGCTGAAAAAATGTGTATTTGCAGAATTGTAAGTTTAAATGTTTTACTATTTTGGTAACATTAAATTTTTTAAAGTAAAACTCAGTTTTTCCATCGAAATCTGTAAAAAGAGAAAAAAAAAAAAAAAAACTTTCTAAAAAGCATTTTTTTTCCTACTTTGAACAAGAAACATGTCATTATTGGTTTTGTTTTTAAGGGCAGTGATATCACTTTTCTTTTGCTAGTGTTTTTTTTACTGGCTTTGTCACTTTTATCATGTTACTGATTAACTAGATTCCTTGATAAAAAAATTTAGGATACCACCAAGTTTAATACCTTTTTTTTAAATAACAAATGAAAAGAGCTTCTTACAAACTGAGAAAATAATATACTACTGCAGCTTCTGTTTAGAAAATGATAATCATGTATTGACATGGTTCCTGTGAAGATCAAAAATCCCTCTTGCCATAGTTTCGAGTATAATAACGAAATAAACTGTTTCAAATACCGATGTATGAGTAATAAAACAATTGTCAAAAATTATTTCTCAGTAACTTGTTATTTCATCCAAGTAAAATTACTTGGACTAATTTTAAGAGCATTTACTCTTATTTGTTTTGATTCTTTGTAAAAATCATTGAAGGTTGAAAGACATAACAAAACAGATTTAATCGTCTGTATTTGCATATTTGCCATATTCTTTATACGAGGCTTACTCAGACGCTAAACATATTCATGTAATTATTTTTGTGCATATAGTTAAATTTTAAAGTAATTAATATTCAGATTTTAAATTATTATTCATCAGAGGGCTTTTGCATATTTGCTTGGTATAATTTATATTGAAATTGGTTGACTATCGTATTTTTATAATCCAGGTCAAAGTGGTGCCGGTAATAACTGGGCCAAGGGCCACTATACAGAAGGTGCCGAATTGGTCGACACAGTCTTAGATGTTGTGAGAAAAGAATCTGAAAGCTGTGACTGTTTACAAGGATTTCAACTAGCTCATTCCCTTGGTGGTGGAACTGGATCTGGAATGGGTACTCTACTTATTTCAAAGATTAGGGAAGAATATCCTGATAGGATAATGAACACATTTAGTGTTATGCCCTCTCCTAAGGTAAATATTTCATTTTATAAAATAAGCATGCATCAGGCTAGTTTTTAATTTTATGACGAGCTTTTGTAGCTCAAAACTTTGGGGAAATAATTGACAGTAATTTCATTAACTTAAAAAATTTCAGTATAAATCAGTTTGTACAAATCAGGCTTTGCCTGATAGATATAGTGAAATTGGTTAATATCCAAGTGCATGAAAACTTAAAAAATTTATCAATTTTCGGTTACTTTGAAACTGAATATTTTATGAGCATCTTTTGATGGGCTGAATTTCAGTTCTTCTCTTATTGGAAGTGCAAATAAGTCTGCCGCTTTTTATAAAAAATTGGGCATTTTATTGTGATTATTCAAAGTATTGTCCCTCGCTGGCCACTACTTTTCCCAATTTTTCTGGCAGCATATGGATACTGCATTGTAACAACGCTTCATCTTTTGAGGCTAATCGTAAACCAACTCAATTTTCGGTATCCTTATATGATAAAATTGCTACTGAGGCAGGCTGTGTCAGCAGTTGAAACAAGTAGTAATCACAAAGAATGTCTGATTAATACAGGAAGGGGGCTTCTCATTTGAGTGTTAACCAAGTAAATTTTGACTGATGCTGTAATGTGGATATTTTATTGCAGAATAATTTTGTCATGTCTAGAGTAGTAGTTAGCATGTTTTTCTTTGAGTGCTCAATTCAGTCTCATCAATTGTGTTTGATACGAAGCCCCAGTATTGTTTTTGTTCAGTTAGAGCAACTCTTATCCATCATATGCACAACATGATTTTTCTCCCCTTGAGTATTTGGTTTGGCTGTCGATGAAGCATAACCAGGTGGTCCTCACAATTTCTTTTTGTTATCAGTGACATTTTTCATCAGTAGTGACTATATGATGCAAATAATGTATTTTACTTGTAAAAAATTGCTGGTCAACATTACTTGGTTTCAGTTCACATGGAACCCCATTTCCTTCCTTTTGAATTATTTCCAGTGACTTTAAATAATGTGAAATTGCATGTTGAGTCATTCCTAATGAAAGTTCTACTTGCATTTGGCACAAATCTTCATCTAATAAGCTTTCATTTCCGCATACTTTCATCAGTCTACTTAGGTTCATTGTTTTCGACATAAGATTCGCCATTCTTAAGCTTTTGGAACAACTCGCAACAAGTTCTCTTACTTCAGGCATCCTTACCATATGCTTTTACAAGCAGTCGATGCACCTTAGCAGATTTGTTCAGATTAAAAAAGTAAATTGGATGTTCTCACAAATGACATTCATTTGGCTCTTGACTCTATATTTACTTATCTGGATATAAGGCAAGTTTCCTCCTCCCTCCCAGTTTTATAACCCAAGTTTTTGGATGTCATCTTAAACTCGTATATTAACTAAAAATTAGCATTAAACTAAGCTCTAAAATTGTCAGTACTTGTAGTTGGAACATAGTACGTGGAATAATCCTTTATTGCATAGCTACTACTGTCACAAAAACAAATGAATCTATCAGAATCCTTCTTGTTAATGAGAGTATTATTCTGCCTAGTTCAGCATCTAAGGGCATAACCACATAGAATAGAATCATAAAAAATTATGGCTTGTCATAAGTTTGGGTAAACATAGTAATATACTCTGTAAAATGCCTGTCTGCCATGTTGAATATGTAAATTTATAGTCCAAACAATAGTCCTCGTGGAAAATATTAATTAGGAATATTCATGGGTAACTAGAACTATTTTGAAAACTGAATGGAATTACTTCTGTATTGTTTTCCCATGGAAAGTAGTATATTTGATGGTGAAAAAGGTTTTCGAAAAGGAACTTTTGTTCTATATTAATTTTATTTAATTTGCAATATAACTTCATTTTATGTTCTGAAACATCATTTTCTATTGTTTTAAGTTTGAAAATAATTTGTGAATTGCTTGTATTTAACAATCTTGTCAGTAAAAGCTACATTGAGAGTTTATCATTAAGTTTTCTGCATTATCTGATGAAAATTGCTTTTGGAGAGGGGGAGGGAGTCTGCAGTTTATCTTAGAATATTGTAAGAATTTTGGTCTCGCTTTTATTACAAGATCCAAAAGTATTAAGTGCATATCTTATTTCATGTAGTCTTTCTTAAGTACTTTGTTTATAATGCAAAAAATAGTATTTTGAAGTGTACCATTTATAAAAAGCTATTAAATTTTTAAGAATTGCTGTGCTTAAAATCTTTCTTGCCTGATTGATAAAACATTTGCAATTTTTATAGCATATCGATTGCACTAATTGCTGTAATATATCTTGGACTTAATTCTAAGCATATCACATATGTAGACAAGTTTCAGAGGTTCAATTTTAATTCACCTGTAAGATTTTTTACTTTTCCTGTTTTGTGCTACTTTTAAACTCTCTAAAATTGCATAAATTCGGTTAAAATGAAAAAGTTACATTATGTAAATTCGACTTTCAGGTTGTTTTTTGTTATTGCTTACGAGTTGTATGCATTGATTTTCTAATAAATAGAATAAGAGTGTTATGAAATATTCTGATAACTCTTATTAAATTAAATACACTTTTCTGCTGCAAAGTTCAGTAAGTTTTATATTCTTAAGCCAGTATTACCCAGAAAATGAGATTAATATGGATTATGCATTAATATTTGTTCAGTTCTCTACAGTGATTAAAATAAATGCTAAAATTAAAACAAATTCACTAAAGAAAGTTATGCATGTTACCTATGTTAAAATTCTTTAATATTATGTTTAAATTAAGCCTATTCTAGTTTATAAAAAGATTAAATTATTTCCATATAGGTTTCAGACACTGTTGTAGAACCATACAATGCCACACTTTCTGTTCATCAGTTAGTTGAAAATACAGATGAAACATTCTGTATTGATAATGAAGCATTGTACGACATATGCTTCAGAACATTGAAGCTTACCACTCCTACTTACGGGGACCTCAATCATCTTGTCTCTGTTACAATGTCTGGAGTAACAACCTGCCTTAGATTCCCAGGTCAGCTGAATGCTGATCTCCGAAAACTTGCTGTCAACATGGTACCATTCCCTCGACTTCACTTTTTCATGCCCGGTTTTGCTCCTTTGACATCTAGGGGAAGCCAACAATACAGAGCTTTGACTGTTCCTGAACTAACTCAACAGATGTTTGATGCCAAGAACATGATGGCTGCTTGTGATCCTAGACATGGACGTTACCTTACTGTTGCTACTATATTCAGAGGACGCATGAGCATGAAGGAGGTTGATGAACAGATGTTGAATGTCCAGAACAAGAACAGCAGTTACTTTGTTGAATGGATCCCTAATAATGTGAAGACTGCTGTATGTGACATTCCACCCCGTGGACTCAAGATGTCTGCAACTTTCATTGGAAATAGCACTGCCATCCAAGAAATCTTCAAGAGAATCTCAGAACAATTCACTGGTAATATTCATTGTTTAATAAATTTGATCACATCAAAATTTTTCTTATCTTTTTGCTTATTATAGTTTAAAAATGTGTTAAAAGTAAATTTAAGTAGAACTCTTCCATTAGCCATTTGCAAAATGTTACTATATACAAATTAAGGTTACCATTCTTAAAGATATTTATTATTTTCATAGCTTATCTGCATTCATTCATTTCTTTTTGAATGTAAATTTTTCACATTATAATTTGTTTGTCTCATATATGATTAAGTTTCAGATGGTGATGATTTAAAAATTTTTTGTAGTTTTAATTTAGTATCATGGTTTAGAATTAATTTTATAAGATAGTGTTTATAATTTTTATTTAATATTTATATGACAACATTGTTTTTATTTGGAGAGAGAATTACCTTGTGATGCAGTAAATCTCAAATTTTCGTGACTAATGATTTAAATTTGCATGTTATAAATAATATACTCTTTAAAATAAACATTCATAATGTAACAGAACCTTTTCATATCTTTTAGGCTTGCCATAGATACTCATTAGCTGAAAAAAAAAAGCATCTTAAATAGAAAATTAAAATTTTGCTTTATAATTATTCTAATCGTATAAAAAGTTAAAACATTTCATAAAATTTTATTATTATGAAGTGTTAATTAAGAAATGCTTGAAGTACATGAATTTCTCGAATTTACATTTCGGACTGTATGGTAAGAAAGGAAATTGTTTATGAATTTTTGTAAATCAAAAATACTGTCGTTGCTTGCTAAAAAATTAAATTAGCATGTGATTGTCGACAGTGCAGGTTGCATATACATTAGTTCTCAATACTGGATCTATTACAAAGTTTGCTTAACAGCTCTGAAAATGGCTATCTAAAATTCGTATGTGTGCTTCTGCATATGTAGTATACATGCAGCAGAACTCAAAATATCAACTGGAACAGTAGCTCATCTGGTAATTAGGAAATTCATAAAGGGCTAATCTAAAAATTTTTCATATATTTAAAGCAAATCTCTTTCAATAGCTTCTCAATAAAATTTAAACTATAAAATTGTTACAGACTAATCTGTAGCCTATTTCTGTTTTGGTGAAAGCAAAGTAATGAAAATATATACTACTCATGTAGGTACCTTGGCTAAGTTTTAACATTTATTTTTTGCTCTCCGGTTCAAGAAATTATATAAAATAAAATGTGTCTATCTTGCTCGTATTTTAATTAAAATTGAGGATTGATGTAAAGAGAAGTAGGAGTATTTATTGTCTTTTTGAGTTCTGATTTGTAGTAAATTTTATTATAATGAAGTAAAAAGGGTAAAAGTAAGTAAAAAGGGTTATCTGCTTTGTTGCAAATTATTAAATTACTACAAAATTTCCAAAATTGTACGCCATTCTTCATATTTTATGCATTCATCTAAATTGAATAACGTTGATAAAATGTATATAGTTACATTATTTAAACCAATGAAATAATTGAAAGATTAAATAAATTGGTGTATAATTTGTTCTCGAAGCAGACATATGCTGCTGAACTAAAGACTATTTAATTTTACCTTATTCTTATAGTGCAAATTTGAAGAGTGCAGTGTGATATTTTTTCATAACTAAGTAAAATTGACAAAAGAATACATTCATCATATTTTGCTGGATTAGTTCAGTTAAACAATTAATAAGAGGAATATTTATGTAATAAATGAAAATCCGACAAAACAGCATATGCCTGTATTTGACAGTGGTTCTAGTAATTCCAATCACGAAACTATAGCTCATGAGACTGATCACTAAAGCTCAATGGGTATGCTTTGCAAGCCATGTAATTATTAAAAACCAGCTGATATGAACAAAAGTATCTTTTAGCTAAGAACTTTTATTTTAATCTTATTTTAAAAATAAAGTGTAAGAAAAAGCATTGTTTATGAAATAACCCAATATATGAGTGTTGTGTAGGAATTAATTGCATGAATTAATTTTGAAATGATAATGCAAGCGTGCTATTTTGGAGATGAAATGGAAAATAACCAAATGAAGTAAGAGGTTGATTACAAATTAGTTTCAATTTGATTTTGTGTTGTCTTATTGTGATGCATGTAAAATAAAGAGAGCAGTCCATGTAATTGAGAACTAACTCTGTTAGGAAATTTCAAATAGTTTTACTGTATTGGTATTTCTAAAAATTTTCATTAAGGTTGTTCCAGTATTTTACAGAAGTCTTTTTCTTCTTTAGCCATGTTCCGCCGTAAAGCTTTCTTGCATTGGTATACTGGAGAAGGTATGGATGAAATGGAATTCACAGAAGCCGAATCTAACATGAATGATTTGGTGTCTGAATATCAACAATACCAAGAAGCCACTGCTGATGATGAAGGTGACTTCGAGGAAGAGGAAGTTGCTGGCGAAACTGCATAAACTTTTAACATTTGCTTTCCAGTTTTGAAATTTGCATATAATTTGTCTTCAATCTTGTAATGAATATTTTTTATTTTTCGAAGATTGAACAAGAACCGTAACTGTTTTGTCATAATTATCAGCTGTATGCACATTTTGTAAGAAAATTCTTTAAATTGTTTTGTAAATTTAAAACAAGCGTGATTTCTTTACTTTGTTTAACAAATAAAAAGTGTTTTCGGGCATTGTAGTGATATTTATTCTGATTTTTTTTTTTTGTAAAATAATTTTATTTACCATAAGAACACTACCAGAATATCTGCAGCTATCTTTGCTACTTGAACCATTTTTTATAGGGGTGTCTTGAAAAAATGGATTTAAATTTTGTTTCATTTAATGATGAATTGGCAATAGATGGTTTTTTTTTCCTTTCAGTAAGGTACAATTTTTTTGTTTTTCCTTTGGTCAGCGTTTACTAAAAACAAACTTTGACCTGATTTCACCATACTTCAAATATTGAAGGTCTGTTACTTTTCTGATCACCTGCAGTGAGATTACTAGTTTGCATAGTTCACATGATATTGCAGTTCTGTTATTGGTGAGGCTGTTATTCATAAAGTTATTGTCATGAAGTACAGAGTGAACACACAGTCCTTAATTTTGAGACACTATAAATATAAGGTTTACTGTACCAAAATTTTTACATTATATTGATGGAAATTATGGTGTACATACCTCCTGTAGCATGCAAGCTTCGAGATTATAATTTAGCTACAGTCGTATATATTGAAGCATATCTGATGTAATCATTCAGATTTGTGGGTAGAAAAGATCCATAGAATTATGCTCTTTACTGGCCATCAGAGGTGAAAGGTCACTCGCAGTTAAGCCTGGTGATCATTGGGTCCAGCTCGTCCTATCGATTGATTTCGCAGGTTGTCCTTCAAAAAGCTGTATACAGATTGCAACATTGCTTTTTATAATACAGCAGCTACTTTGCTGCCAGGTAAATAGCATTTTCAATGTCTGTTTAACCTTTTACATGCCAATGTTCCATAAATGGAACATCGAATTTAAAATTTCATAAAAACACAATTTTATTAATATTGCTTTGTATAAATTATTACATGGAGAGTAAATATGGATTGATGTTTTGGTAGCGATATAATTCTAAAAGAAAAATTATCTTTATAAAAAATTCAGTATTTCACCTTTTTTCCTTCTTTTCTAAGAGCAAAATTCAGAAATTTATATAAAATTAAAAATTCAACAAATGTTTTTAAAACTCAATAAGGATATTTAAAAAGGATCATTTTATGCATAAACAGTTAGTTATCATAGAAAGATGATTATTGTTTTCTATGAGGTAGGAAATGTGGATGTTCCAGAAAGGGAACATTGGCATGTAAAGGTGTATTTTTAACATTATGAAATTACTTTGATTGCCATGAATAGAGGCACGGAGGAAGATTTTCTAAATGTGAAAAGTTCCAGTAAGTGTGGAAAACAGATGTTTATGACTTAATCTGTTTTCAACTCTCGTATATCCTCCTCCTCTCCTTTCACACATTCCCATAAGGGTTTGAAATGAGTTGCTCACAGCTGCTAGAGAAAAGTACGTGGCGTTTCTTGATAGGCTAGACGCTAGAGGTTGTTTATGACTCGGTGAAAAAGGCATTTTGGAGTGTGGATTTCATTATTTTCCCATTGTTTGCATTTTTTTTTTCCAGTTCGTGAAGATACGCTGCGCTGATAAGATGGCTCATTCAAAACCATTTCAGACTTGAAGAAGAATTAGAATATTTATATACATTATCAGATGAGTGTATTGATATTTGTCAACTGCCTATAGAAGAAACTGCATGCTTGACAGATGAGGAAGATATTTTTTAGCCTGTTTTGCCAGCGGATGTATGCGGAAAAATCAAAATTTCTGATAAAATAGATGATGAAATATCTCAAGAAATTTCATTCGATCCTCAAGAACCTTCATCTTCAAAGGGAAGGAAGAATTTGCAGTGAAAACTAAATGCGAAAGAGAAAAACATTGAACATCGATGGGGGAAAAATTTAAATTATAACAAAATTCTAAAAACTGGCAGCATTGAAAATATTTGCGAAGTGTTTCCTGAACTAGTTAATCCAATTGAGATTTTTCACAAGTTCCTAACTAGAGAATAGTTGCTGCATTTAGCAAATATGACAGGTCTTTATGCAATGCAGAAAGAAGTTTTAGCTGTAGATGAGAAAACTATATTGGACAGTTTTTTGGATTGTTGTTTAGTGGGTATCATAGAGTAACTGAAGATTTATACTGGAGCACTCGCGATTTATCTGTACCAGTAGTTTCTTCTGTAATGCCAAGAAATAGATTTCGAAAAGTGAAAAAATATTTTCATATTATAGATAATACCAAGTTGGCATTAGGAGATAAAACGGGAAATTTTTTCCTTTTTATAAAGAACTGGAAAAAAACTTTCAATAGTTCGGTGTCTTCCATTTCTGCAGTGTGAATTTTTGTATGGAGATTATTTGTTACTTATTTCTACAACTCTTTTTCCTTGTTTCAGTATAAACTGCTAACAATTAATGTTAAATTCTTGCTTATCAACTATGTAATTTTTGTTTTAATTTATTACGAATGCTTTTTTCTGTGGAAGCTTCATGTCTTCTAAGAAATTTTGGTGTAGTAGCTTTGCCGTTATAAAGATGTAGGCCTTTTTCTGCTTAATCTATGTTACTTCCGAATAACGTTGACAAATTGCAGACAAAAATAAAGCTTCAAATTAAAATGTCAGTAATCATGTTTTACAAACATTGTGTAAAAAAACTTTCTCGCTAATGTTCCATTTATAGAACATGTTATAAATCATTAAAAAATTGTTTTCTTTTATCATAATTCTTAATTTGAGTTTTAAATCTATGTTTCACAATAAAATGTTTATTTTACTTTCGCTTCATAGTTTGCTGCGTAAAAGGTTAAGTGGGAGCTAGTAGCTATTTTGTAAAAATATTTTGAGTTGATTGTGAAACAAAATTTAATCAATGTTACAAGTATCTTGAAATCAGGGAGTCAGTTTTTGCTCACTCTGTATAATAAATTATATTTATGGTGCTGATGTCTTAAATCCTTTGAGAATAAGAACAATTTTACAACTTTTAAATGCATTTTAAAAAGTTAAAAATAGAATATATAGTAAATAAAATAAATCATTAAAATTAAGAACAAAGCATTCTCAGTCTTTTAAAACAAAACGCAGGTCACAGGTAAAGGGGGAGTTAAGAATTGATGAAAGTAATCAGCTCTTTTCAGTGTGGCTGTCGGTAAAGCCATGATGTGGTACTGGTGATTCAAGCCTACTGAAATTCTAATCTCATTTCTTAATGAATGGCTAAATTTTTTTAAAGAATCATTTTTGAATGGATATAAAGTAAATTTTCTGAACTTTTTGAGTTAACATTTGTGATTTTAGGTGGTTAAAATGGTAAGGAGTTTTGAATTCTCATATGGCACTAAGTATCAAGCAAATTGATTTAGCTATAAGAATTTTAATCATTCCCATAAAATGTTCTTAATTGTGGAACTGTTATAAAATACAAGCAATTCCCTCTCATCTGAAACAGTTCTTATTAAGAACTCAATTTAAGGAAGAAAATTCCTAGTTAATGAATTATTTATTACCTAAAAGTGGTAATTTGGTTTTCATTTTTAAACAATGATTTCCAAATTAGGGACCAGGACAGATTTTAATCTTCAATATATAGGAAATATTACTTAAAGCAATTGATGCATAGGTCTTTAAAAAGCAGATGTATTTTTCTTAAGTGGCTGATTTATACTGAGTCTTCACATTGTAAATTTGCAGAATTTTTGTGTGGAGTAAAAATTCCAACACAATGGTATTGTTTTGTATAAAAATGAGTTGAGTACTAAAAGGTACAATAGTAACGATGTTTCACTTGTAAAGGGGTATTTTCTAGGCTTCTCATTCCTGTTTAAAGTTGGCAGAAAGGATGGTTTAAAATAAGCTGATTGTGCTGGTGTTGCTTAATTTTAATCCAACATTTACTAAGTCAGGTAGTCTAAGATTTTAGTAACTAGCGTTTACTTGTAGCAAACGTTGCAATTAATCTATTTTCATGCTTTGTATTTTTAAAAGATGTCTGCTTGTTAGAAAATTGTTATATTGCATTGTATTATATCTTCTAATATGCGTCTTCATCAGTCATACTTATGGTATCATACTTAGTTATGTCTATTAACTTCATTATAAATTTTTAATTATACAGTACAAAGTCCATTATCCAGAATGAACTATATCTTCAAAGCCAGAAACGCCGTCCGTTATACTTTAAATGCGCATGCATAGAGCATACAAAAAAAAAAAAAAAAAAATGTATAATTAAATGTCCGTACTTTACATTTAATTATAATTTATTTAAAATATACATATTTACGTTTTGTAGTTTTGTAGTAGTACCGATTACAATAAAAAGGGATGTGCACATCTAGATGTTATAACGGGCCCATATACAAAATTTCAACGTTCTAGAACTAATCGTTTTTGAGTTATGGGAAATGCATATATACGTACTTACACATCACGAAAAAATTCCTTGAAGTCATAATCATTAGTCATAGAGTAAATGGGATTACATTTAACAATCCGTTTCTGGAAGGGAAAAAAAAATAATTGTGTTTGTACGTACAGACGTCACCCAAAAAATAATTCACATGGATTCTGTAATTGTCAAAAATGGATATTTCCGTTGAAATACGATACCCAAAAATTTTTCTCGATTACTATACTTACTTTTTAATTCGTACAAGGAAGTAAGAACTTATATTAACTACTATTCTTATTTAAACAATACTTAAGTGCAGTATATAAATATTTCAAAAATAATAAAATCTCCCTGTGGCATGCTCAAGAAAAAATCAATAATCATCTAAATTTTCAAATTACAGACATAATATGCTCTATAAATCTAAATGTAAAAAGCAAATATAAATAGCGCTCACGCTATCAAAATCGATCATTTTCTAAATATCAACAACTAAACAATATTTCAACTAAACAAAACACATATGTAAACAAGAGTTTGCCCGATGTGTTAACCAAAAAAGTTCGAAATTATCAATGAAAAATGTGGCACACGGGTATTGTTAGCAAATGTATCATTCGTATTCGCATAGAAACCGCATCATACGTATTCGAATAGAAACCGCGTCATTCGTACTGGA